AGATATATAGAGAAATGTCTATATCGCAGTCCATTTCTTAATCTTTATATATCTATATGTCGGAGTCGAAAATGAGTTCCCATAAACACAAACACTTTAGACGTATTCATGTACGATAACATAGAACTATCTTTCTATAATTAGATTAATCCCATTTAACATAGAACTATCTTCTTTAAGATTAATCTTATATGGGATTTATGTAATAAGTATAGATGTGTTTTACAATTATTTTTCAAGAGTTTTGTTAGTCAAAGGACAAAAGGATGTGATAGTTGAAGGGAAACAAGAAAGGGTCCCAAAGTTATGTGTAAAGCTTTTACCAACTCATCGGTCCAGTTGTTCTCAGAACGAATATTTCTGCGTCTTATTTCTTATCCATGCTTTTGTTTCCATCTTAGCTTCGAATCTTTCTAAACAGTGCCGACTACACAGTCCACAAATCCGACAACCTTTTTACTCTAAAAATATATTATTTAGCCACCAGTTGATAAAAATTCAAATTCAAACTTTAATCTTAACCAAAGTCAACAATTAATTATAACCGCACATTTCATGAAATCCACAACTTTTCAACCACTCATGTCATTAACTTTTATCAAAATCTAATAAAAATATTATTTTAATTCTCATCAAACATGGGCTTAATGTGTGAAAATAAACCGACCAAACTAAAAAAAGGATGAACCGCATCCTTGGCAACCCCCACCTGCCCTGCCCTGCCCTGGGCCTTGGTGAAGGAGGTAAATCGTATGTTATGCCTCCAAAGGTATAGGGTGGAAGACTGCTTGTACACTTGCACTTACCCAAAGGCCAATCCATATTTGAGGATTCGAACCCTTGACGCGACAGCCTCAAGTCAAGTTAGAGTTTTTCCACCTTCCCCTTTTACCACATGGAAATGTGCCCTAGGGGCTATTTATTTTCGTTTCTTGACCCTTCAGGAAATGGAAAGAGAANTTTCCACATTCCCCTTTTACCACTTAGAGATGTGCTCTGGGAGCAATAAACCGACCAAACTAATTGCTAAGCTTGTTTGATTTAGATAAAAATAAAAAAATTTAGTAGATTTTTATAAAAGTAGATGAAATGTGTGACAGAAAAGTTGGTAAATGTTGTGAAACCCATAAAATATACAGTTAAAAACGAGTTTGAGAAAAAATGAGTTTTGAAAAATAAAGGACAAATGAGGACTAAAGATAGTAAAAACTATAATTTTTTTGTGTGCTCGATGTAATTTTTTAAATTTTAGTATTCAGTTTAATGCTTTTTATTTATTAATAAATGCAATATTTTGTTCATTAAATATAAATATAAATTTAATAATTTTAGTAATAATAAAATTTATAATTATATAATTGTCGAAATTAATTAATTTTTAAGAAATAAATAATAAGAAGATAAATTAAATACTATTCATTTGGTGTGACTATTGGAGATGCCACCTCGAATTGGTGTGATAATTGCAAACCATTGGAGATGCCTTATTATTCTTATTCTCCTTATTGTTTATTATGCTTTTTATTTATTAGTCGTCAGGAGGTGTATTTTAATAATTTTTAGAAGTTTTTGGATTTGGGTATAATTTCAATTTAAATCACAATTAAATTTTAGCCCTTGTTTCACTCCCATTTTATAAAAAAAATCATTTTTTCAAACTCATTTTCAATCACGCGTTCTCCAATAAAATAATATTACACGTAAATCAAAAACGTTTTCTTCATTTTTAATTCCACATT